AGGTATTCAGAATATTTTAATTAACTATAGGAATTATTCCATCTGCTTTTAAAACTATGTCTTATCTTTGGTCATTAGGAGCCCCTTCAGGCTGACTTCTGTGTCCGTTTGATAAAATCACTCTGGCCTTTGTTATCTTTGTTGCCTCTTGGCACAACAGGAGATTCCAGGTTGATCTTCATTCTTTCCTCAGACATATAATTATCTATTTTTTAAACATGATTTAGTACTTTTAAAGTACAGAACTAAAAAAAAAATTAAAAAAAAATAAAATAAAGTACAGAACTATATTTAGAAATACATGTTAGGTGCTGTTTCTTTTAGTGGTTGAGTTGTTATTTCTTTTTGGCTTTTTCAGTGGCTATAACCAGAAACCAAGTTGTTTTTTTTTTTTTTAGAAAAAGATCATGAGTTAACATTGATATTTGAAATTGAAAAAATAAGGCAACAGTTTTCTTGTATAAAGTTAGCTAAGTTATATTACAAAATATACAAGAGGTCTTCTCTGCCAAGACCTTTCTAACCTTGCCAATCAAATATTTCAATGGAAAATTTTAAACATAAAAATACAGATTAATACAGATATTCCTTGTTTAATGACCTACCTGTTTAAAGACTCTTTGGAATCATAACCTGTGGCTCGGACTTGCAACCTCTTTTTTTTATTTTTTGGTACATCTTGTTTATAGACCCTCATTGTCTTTTTTGGAATATGTCTTAGTTACTTTTCTCTCACTGCTGAGATAAAATAGCTGACTTCCAAAATTAAAGGGGGAAAGTTTTATTTAGCTCACAGTTTGTAGAGGTATCAGTTCATAATTGGCTGGTTCCAAGGCAAGGTGGCACAGCAGACAGGCATTGTGGAGGAGAAACAGTTCATGCTGGCCAGAAGATAGCAAACCAAGCAAGACAGAAGATAAGCCCCTCTCTTGCCCTTATATTATATCCGGGATACCAGGATTAATATGGTGCCAAAGCAATCAGTGGACTGATTTAGTAATCACCCACCTTTAATCCTAGCACCCTTAATCCTAGCATTGCACCATGAATCAGTCACACACTGTAGATCCAGCCAGCTCTGAAAAAGCTCTTTGACTGCATGAGGCTTTGGGGGCACATTTAGACACAAGCCATTATAGTACAGTATACCTTATTTAAATAGTACTGTAATTTTTGCTGATTGTATTATACAGCACGGTAGTTTTATGTTCTGTTATACATTATATTACTGCATTTAAGAGTTATACAAATAAAAGCAAAGTTCTCAAGCTGGGGATTCCTTTGACCATTTCTTTGCTCTGAGTATTATAATGTACATACCATATATAGCTTTTCATTTAGCAACCAATTCATTTGACTGCCTAGTCACAGGAATGGAACTAGGTTGTTAAATGAGAAATATCTATATAACCCCTGTATCTCTCCTCCAGTTTTAACAATCACTAACTGTGTTAATCAGCTTTCTATTACTGTAACAAAATACCTGAGATGACTAATTTAATAAAAAGGAAAGCTTTTTTTGGCTCACAGTTTAGAGATTTCAGTCTATGACTGATTGGACCCATTGCCTTGGCAGTACAGTACACAATGGTGAGAGCACATGGCAGAGGAAGACCATTCACCCCATGGCCAGAACAAAAAGGAGAGAGAAGAGATTGAGGTCCCCACAGTCCCCTTTGAGAGCAGTCTCCAGTGACCTAAGACCTCTCCCTAGGAGTTACCTTTTGATGTTAATACTACCTGCTGTGGGCTAGGGACCAAGCCTTTAACACATGGGCCTTTGGGGGACATTTAAAATCCAAATGATAGCACAAACTCACTGCCAATATATGACTTTTTATTTAAAATGTGTTCATTTATAATACTTTTACTCTGAAAATTTTGGTTCCTTATAATATTGATTTAACTTATGTAATAGTTTCAGAATAATAGCAAATTTTAATACTACAAATGAGATTACTATAATTTTAAGATTTCCTTCCATCTTTTGGTCCATACTTAGACCATACTCCACTGAGGGTGCACAGTCAAAATATTGCCTCATAAGGTTGGTTGGAATTATTCTTTTCTACGTGTTGTTACATCATAAACTTAATATACAGGGCCGGGGATATAGCTCAGTGGCACAAGTGCCTGCCTGGCAAGCACAAGGTCCTGAGTTTGATTCCCAGTACAAAAAAAAAAACAACTTAATATACAGTTAGACTCATTTGATTTAGTTGGTCTTTAATTTTTAGGAACTGCTTTTGCTTTTCTTCCATACTTAAGTTTGGTTTTATGAGGCATTGACATGATATCCAATGTCAAAATTATATGAAAAACATACGTTCAGAGAAGCTTCACTTCCATCCATCCCTATCCCTTCCATCTGCACCCCTCCTTCCTCTAACAGGTAAACATTTTTCTTAGGTTTTCCTCTCTCGATGTTTATCTTTTTACATTAGAGTCAAACTTTCTAAATACAGTAAAACCTTAGTTTGTGAGAATAATTTCTTCTGCTTGTAATCCAAAACATGTATATCAAAGGAGGGAGGAAAGGAGGAAGAGAGAGAAAGAGAGAGAGAGGAACTATTGTGATCATGTGACAGCCTACAGACCAAGTTACTTGTAAACCCAGTTTGGACTGTAGATCCAAGTGTGGGAGTGTTGCCAATCAGCCTAGGATTCTTTTGCTTGATTCAAGAATCAGGAAAGTGCAGCTCTGCTAGCAGTCCTGATGTTACCAGGTAATGCTGGGTGCCAACCCTAGGCAGCCAGCTGCTGGTCACTGCCACTGCCAGCTGTCACAGTCCGATGCCAGCTTATGCTGGACACCATAGGTCACTCTCTGATGCCTGCTTGTGCTGGACACTGGAGGTCAAGTCTACCAAATGCTATTTCTCTGCTGCTGGTCTTTGTTGGCTGCTGTCTCTGGAGCTCTTTGGTGTTTATTCATCTTTCTTTGGAAGATAAAAATCCCAAGTAGGTTTATGTACTACCTGAGAAATAAATCACAAGCAGGTTTACAGGAACACCAAAGGAAGTCTTTATTGTAACAGAGCCTGGGCTGCAGCACAGAGGAACCAGTATATAAGAGTGAGTCCTAGACTAAAACTGAAGGAAACCTAGACTAAAACGGAGATAGGCCTGGGAAAGAGCTACTATTGTAACATATTTCAGGCCTGACTCAGTGAGGATAAAGACTGAAACCAGGGAATCTTCTGGAAGGCTTGCTGTGAATGTTGAGTATGCAAATAAGGGGCCCAGATCCTTCCCTTCCTGATCTGAGCCACTCCAGGGTGCCCTCTCCTTCTCAAAAATGCAACAATATCATCTGAAGGGGCAGGAGTGGAGAAGGGGCCCCATGCTTCCGGACTGCAGCAGTGTTGGAGTGGAAAATGGTAGATAATCAGGGAAGAGCCTGAAGCAAGTTCTGCAAAGAGAAAGAGGGAGCAAAGGGTAGCCAGGAGGAGGGGCAGGCAGCCGCTAGCTAAGCCACACCCGCTCCAGCCTGACGGGTGGGGGGTGATAAATGAGTCAGGTGCTTCCCTTCTGCCTCAGGTGTAGGCTCTGTAACAGCGTTTTCCTGTATGCCTCCCTTTAGAATTTTTCCCCTTGCAATGTGTACATCTCTTGCTTCGTTTAATACCTCTGATTATTACCTGCCTCCATAGAGCTTGCCAAGAGCAAGAAAACATTCCCAGTTACCTTCTTTATCCTGTACCTATCATAATCTATACCCTGTGCTGCTGAAAAATTCATGTTTTAATTTGTTCTCTGTGGCTAACTGTATACAGCAGTTGTCTGCTACTTATTCTGCCATTTCTGAGTCTGTTGTCTGTATTAAATCACAAACCTTCAGTTATTTTGGTGCCCAATGTAGTATTCTTTTCTTTCTCATTCTTGTGTATTCCTGTGGCATATGACTACATTCAACTTTTTCATGTTCATTCACCTTAGTACTATACTTCATCATTCGATGTTGTTTTTGTATCTGTTTAATGAATTTGGGGGCTGGAGATGTAGCTCAGTACCACAAGCACTTGCCTGGCAAGCACAAAGTCCTGAGTTCAAATCCCCGTACAGAAAAAAAGCCACTTCTGTAACTATGTTTAATGAACTTATGTCTTTTTTTCCAAGAAATTTGTAGTTCCTTGAAGGTCAGGACTACCCCATTACTATTTGAAATAAAAAGCAAGTCCATTAGGAATATAGTGATAGCTGAATACATGCTAACTGAATTAAAGGGCATATTTTGCTTTTCTAATTAAGGACCATGCTCACCAATAATTTGACACTAGTAGCACCAGTGCTGCATTTCAATCCAAGTTTACCAAACATTTAATCATGAATCTTGACCCCAAAATTTAAGTTATGGGGGTTTTTTAAATATTCAAATTAATTTATAGGAAAGGAGGCACAAATCTTTCTGTTTGTAGGATTAAAAAAAATTAAAAACTTCATCATTGTTTCTAGAATGTAGCTTGAAAACGCACTCAAGGAAAATACTTTCAGGTGGGCATTACTTTGGTGTTTGGCCTCAATTCCTATTTGGCTTAGCTCCATTGTGGGTGGCCCAGAACTTGGCTGGTGAGTAGGAGAGTTGGAAGCAGATCTGGCTGCCTGGCAAGACTACTTATGTTGACTTGGATTGCTTTTGATCTTATTTGCTATTTTGTCAACTATTCTTTTTGCTGATAAATGAGTGGAGATTGTCGGGTTTTTATAGAAGAATAAAACCTAGAAAAGCCAGACTATTTACAACACTATTTGAAAATGTGTCACTAGTTCTATAATAACTCTGAAGCTACTTCTCATGGGACGAGACTCTATGTTAATTTGCTTCATGATTAGTGTAGGAAGAAGCAGCTGAGGTAATGTGTCCCATCTGTCTACTTCCCTCTTCCCTTTTTCTCGCCCCCAAAGAAGATGCTGGAGATTCTTCAGGGGAGAATACAAAGATTAATTTTAGCATATATTTGTATTCATACTAAGAAAACACTTTTTGGGTTTACTTCTAGGTCCTGTGATCGCCTTGGAGTTCAATGGAGATGGTGTTGTGGAAGAATGTCAGCTTACTATAAATAAGACATTCAATGGGACCAAGGTATAAGATTTTATTGACTATATCCCAGTCTGACATTTCATTTCATTTCCTTTTCCTTCCAACTAAATAGTACTTTTAGCTCTCTTTTAACCCAGCACATTGATTTTTTTAGAACATATCGTAAATAATTGGGTACTAAGCTTTGGATTTTCTTTGCTAACTTAAAACTTCAATTGCTTAAAATAATAAAAAAATTCTCTAAATTTCTTATTGAAGTTACTATGAATTTCAGATTTAAATAGCTTAATATAATTTAAAAACTAAACATAAAAGAGGATTAAATGGATAAATATACAATTGACTATTTTTAATAACAAAGGAAATTTTTGTTTTGTCCTTTTGTCTTGAATTTGCAAAATTTAAAGTACTTTATCTTCTCTCTTATTTTATCATCAAAATAATACTAAGGAAGAAGACAAATATCAGATTTAATAGAAAAAGGAACTGAGAAGTGAAATGGTTATACTATTCAGACTTTTTAGAGTTAAATTGTTAAGATGTTATCTAATTTAACTTTCTCATTTTACAAGTGTGGAAATTGACTCCAGGAAAGTTTATTAAATTCCAAGCACCATGCAGCTAATTTATGATAAAGCTAGAATAAAATCCATGTCTCCTCTATTTGCCTGGCTGACATCTGTAGAATCTACTCTTGAAGTTCTATTAAAGAGTTTCTTTTAGTGATGTTCAGAAAGTAGTTCATATAAAATTAGTAATATATGCCGAGAGTGTTGGTACACACCTATAGTCTCAGTTATTTGGGAGGCTGAGGCAGGAGGATCACTTGAACCTAGGAGTGCAATGCCAGCCTGGACAACATAGTGAGACCTTGTTTCAATGAAAGGGAATATAGCTCAGTGCTAGAGCATTTGCCTGCCATGAGCTAAACCCTGGGTTTAATCCCAAGCACTGAAAAAATAAATAACATGAAATAAAATTAGTAATATATCTTTACCAGCTTTGAAAAGCATATCATATTTTGCTTCTCAGCCTACTGAGATTTTTATTAGAAAATAGAAGAAACTAAGAGTTTTTAAAATAAATCTCACTCAGTAGTTTTCATATGTTGAATGTTGCACATTAAACAGTAAAATTGCGGGTGTCATAAAATACAACTGAACTCTTATAAAAGCAAAGACATTAATTATATCCAAGGGATTTTAAAAGAGCTTCATTTACATTCGAGCTATTGAAACCATATTGCACAGATTCTATGTAAAACCTATAAATTAAATATTATAGATGATGTATTTGAATTTCTTTTAAATAAGCTTGTGACTATTCTGTGGAGACATGGCTTTTGGCATTATGGGGTCACAGTACTTATGTTTTATTTCTTTTACATTTAAAATAGATGTTTGTATCAGAAAACAAGGAGACCGCATCTGAAGATGTAGACAACTTCTACAACTTTGTTGATATACAGATGGGAATATGAACTGCAAATGTGGAAAGAAGGATTTGGTATTAAGTCCTTCCCAACTTTTGTGTGTAAAGTTTGATAATATGCTTTTGTGTATTAGCAGTGATTTTTACTAATGCTAAAACTGTTGTGTTATTTTTAAAATAGTTCAATTAAATAGTTTTAATCTACTTAGCAACTATTTAGCCCACTTCAATAAGCTTACAGTTTTCTTTCTTTGCTTATAATAACTCTTATTAGAAAATAGAAGTGACTACCAGTTCATGATTTTAATCCTAATTAAATGTTCTTTCAAATTTCTAATAATTTAAACTTTCCAACTTTCCTCAGTGCTCCATGATATTTGTGTGAGAATACGTTTCATTGCTTATTTTATTTTTTTAATTTAGATGGATTTGTTACTATTTGATCAGTTAGAATGAACCTATGCACATTTTTTTCATGTATACATAGCCAGTTAAATAGTTGCCTCTTAGTTGCATTAAATAGCTAATGAGATTTTGTACATTACTTGACATACTACTTTTTAAATTGAATTTTTAAAGAAATAAGTGGTGTGTGATTGTAGCCCTAGCTACTCAAGTGGTTCAGGCAGGAGGATCACTTGAGCCCAGGAGTTTGCAGCCAGCCTGGGCAGCAAAACTAAAAAAAAAAAAAAAACCAACCACAACAACAACAAAAAAAAAAAACAAAGTGAAGAAATAGGCATTTGATAACTAGCTTTGCAAATAACTCTAAGAACTGATGTTGGTATAGCATTGTAAGACTACTTCATAAGTAGTGTGACCATTTGAGTAAATTACGCATTGGTTTTTTGAAATACAATTATTAGACATCTCTTCTGCTTCTGGTAAGAAAAGATATATGCAATAGGAAAACTATAGAAGCCACTACCAGCAGGTTTTATAAAGGTGATTACTGTTTGATCAGCTAGCTCCTGGGCTATCAAGAGATTTAGAACAAAACTTTGTTACTTTTAGGTAAGAAATAGGCATGATGATAAGCTATACAGATTATTAAAAAGCTTGATACATATATCAAGTAATGGAAGTACGATAAAATTATTTTGGTTGCTTTCAAAGCATTATTTCTTAAATCCACCTGATCATAGTAATTTTCCAGGAGGTAGGGTAGAGCTATTTGTTCAAAAGTCTACATTCTTAGACCCAATCCTCAGATGCACAGATTCAGTCTTTAAGTGAAACTCTTTTAAGGAGTATGTTATAATCAGTTCAAAGGGTGTTGATAGGTTGATCATGTGGGAAGGTGCTGAACCTGCCATCCACAAAACATTCAGCTAATAGGAAAACAGCTTTCGTAAGCCTGTTTATTTATTTATTTATTTATTTTTCCAGTACAGGGACTCAAACCCAGGGCCTCACACATGCTAGGCAAGTGCTTTACCCCTGAGCTACACACGTAGCCCCATAGGCATATTTTTAAAAGGCCTATTTTAAAATTTAATTCTGTTTTTATAAGACTCAGACCAAAACCAGCCACATGTAAAAAATTTTTTTATGATTGTTACTCAAAATACATTTTTATGTCTAACATGTTTTTGGATATTTTCAGGTTGACTACTATATTGAATTGTATGTTAATATGTAGAAATAACGCATCAGAAAACTTTTCACTGTAAATTAGTGATATGGAACACCCACACTGTGCCTGGCTCTGTGCTAACCACTAGCACTGCACCATTTCATTTCTTTTATAAAAACATTCTATTCGAAAAAGTCAATCTGATTTCATAAGGTGCAAATCAAAATTGGTGACAGGTTTAATGTAATTTTGATCATAGTTTTTAAATAATCTTTGCAAATAGTGGTTAGAGGGCTTTAACGTTTAGTTAAGCTACATTAAATAAATAGCTTCCTATCATGATTATATTATTAAACATCATTATTCACATTGAAAATAATCACAATACTTTTTGTTTTTGAAAAATAAAATACAGTGCTATGCAAAGATATAGAGTGAGTTATCTATGGTATTTTAGCAAACTCAGGAATATAATAATAAGGGAGATGTTGATTTAAGATTTTCCACTAAGTTTAGTATCTGTTAACCAAAGCCTAAAAGGTTTTACTCTTCACTTAGATAAGAGATTTTACCCATGTTTAATCTTTCTCTCTTTCTTTCTTTGTTTCTTTCTCTGTTTCTTTCTTTCTGGTGGTGCTGGGGGTTGAATGCAGGGCCTCATGCATGCTAGGCAAGCACTCTATCATTGAGCTACATCCCCAGCCTAATTTGTCTTCAAGGATAGTCATTTGGCTTCTGAATGTTTGATAAGAGTTTTTAAAATAATGATAGTTGGTTTTATAATTCTAAACTTTTATAGTAATCAAAATGTACTATATTTCATTTCTGAAATAGATTTTAAATTCTTAAAAAATTATTAGCAATAAAAACTTAGTAATTTTATTAAGTTATACTTGTTTAAACATCATATGAGTTTCTTTTGCATTAATAAGTACTGCTGGTTTTGTTTTGTTTCTGTATATTTATGTGTACCTTTTATATGCAATTTACCTAGTGTTTATAAAATATGATTTGTAATAAATGTTAAAATGAAAATGGCTTATCACTCTTTTTTGTTGTTGTTTTTTGAGACAGGGTCTTGCTATGTAGCTCAGGCAGGCTTTGAACTCACTATGTAGTCCAGGCTGGCCTTGAACTCATGGCAATCCTCCCGCCTCAGCCTCCCAAGTGCTGGGATTACAGGCATGTGCCACCGTGCCTGGTATAATACTCATTTTTTTTTTATGTTGCTGGTTTTTGTAACACTCATTTTTGAAGAGCACTTCTGTAACATACATGTGCCAAGTTTTTTAATGTAAAAAGCAAAATAAAATTTTCTATTCTTTGTCATATGTTAAAGAGAAATTGGGGTATGTGTATGTCTGTGTGTCTGTGTATACATAAGGTACTGTGAAAAAAATGCAAAGGAAGTAGGAAACCTGTTTTAATCTAAGCAATTTCCAAAATGCTTCCTTTGCTAAAAAGGAATCGTATTTTATTATGACTCAATAGTTACTAAGATGGGGTATCTTCACTTCCATATTTTTAAAAAATGAATTGTATTATACTTACATTAAGGTTTATATAAATGGACCTTATTTTTAAGTTACTACCAAATTTCCTAGCCCTTTGTGTTCAACTTCTCCCTCTCCTAACCCATAAATCAAAAGTATTAAAATTACAGATTGGTCAGTTTTTAAATAACATTATTCTTATTTCTACTTATAAAGGTTCTACACATACAACATTTGGAGCACCGGGAAAAACAGAAATTGCAAGACAATAATAAAATTCTTACTGGGTAATTCTTGGTGTCTAAAATTTGTTTTACTCATTTATAAGGGATATATTTAATTGTTATCTATAGAAAGAGAATGTATTATAATTATGATATGATTAGTTCTTCAAAACCCATTCTATAAAATAGTTTAAAAGTTTTAACACTCAAAAAGCCAACCTTCGTGTAAATTATACAGATATGCCGTAGTGTGATCTGGAATATCCCATCCCCCCAAAGCTTGTGTGTTAAAAGACAGGTTGCCAGCCTGTGGTGCTGTGGGGGAGGCAATGGAACTTTCAGCAAGTGAAGAGGTAGGAGAAGAAAGTTAGATCACTGGAGATGTGCCCTTGAAGGGGATATGGGAATCCTGGTCCCTTCCACCCTCCCCTGACCACTATGAGGTGAGCAGTTTGCTCTGCCATGCACCTGCCCCCCATGATGTACTTCCTCATCACAGGCTTAAAAGCAACAGGCCATTTGACCAGGAAATGAAACCCAGAGCCAAAATAAACCTTTCCTCTTTAAAAGATGGTTTATCTCAGGTATTTGCTTCAGGGACCAAAACCTAAGTAAGAGAAAATGAAAACCTTTTTTCATAAAAATGGAGTCACTGTTAACTTGTTTTTCTCTTTGGGTAGATTGAATGTTTGAGGGGTGGTATGGAAATAAGCCTTTATAATACTTTGTGTCATTCCTTATGTGACATTTTGGTGTTTAGTGGCAAGCTTCAGCAAGATGCTCAGAAATGGTGATTTCTTTTTTCCCTTCCTGGTGATTCAGTGCTTTCCTGGTGAAGGCCGGTTCTCATCTAGAAACAGCATAGGTGACAGAGAGCCCCCAGAATTCTTGCTTAAGCTTCCATCCTCCCCCTGGGGCCTGTCTCCACTGCTTCAATTTCATCTGGTCCACTTGTAATTGGACTAATGAGCATTAACTTGCAAATTGTGTGACAAGTAATTAACCAATATTTGTAAAGTGCCTTAAAAATGAAAAATACTTTATAAATGTTAAGTATTGTGCTGTGCAAAGTGAGTATGATGTTCTTTTAAAGTAGTTCATCCGTAAAGTCACACACCTGGCTGTGTATTCATAGACAGCTGAATAGGAAAAAAACAGGCTTAAGAGGTTGTTAAGGCTTAAGTGCTGTTTGCTTAGTGATTGATGTACTTTCATTTAACAAATGTAGGTCAGTTTGTTAGTCTCATTAATAGAACATTTTATACTATTTCACCCTAACTTGTAACCAGATCTTATATTAAGTGATTTTATAATTTATCTCATTAGAGTCATCTAGTTTCAGGGCTATGAAGGGTCTAACACAGCCTAATTAGTTTGAATTCCTAATTTCCTTCCCTTCCTGGTGATTCAGTGCTTTCCTGGTGAGGGCCGGTTCTCATCGAGAAACAGTCAGCATAGGTGATACAGAGCCCTATGCTGGTTTTTTTGTTTCTTGAGATAGGGTCTCACTATGTAGTTCATGCTGGCCTTGAACTCATGGTGATTCTCCTGCCTCAGCCTCCCAAGTGCTGGGATTACAGGTGTGCCATCACACCTGGCTTAATCTCTAATTTTGAAAATGAGAAAGAAATTGAAAGTTAGAAAGTTTAGATGGCCTGTCCAGTTATACTGAACTACAGAACAGGCCTCTTCACTTTTCCCTGAGATTACAAAAACAAGACTCAGCTCATCTGTCTCTATGTGAAGCTTTTTCTAATACGCATAGGTAGAAAGGCCCTGCTTGGGGCTCACACAGTACTCCATATAGATTTCCAAGTACTTGTAACACTTTATTCCAATTCTTTATCCATGCCTTTCTTGCCACTCAAACTGTGATCTGTGGACCAGCAGCATCAGTTTTACCTAGAAACTGGTTAGAATCTCAAGCTCCACTCCAGATCTGGTGAACAAGCATCTACTAATGCATATTCAGGGAATAACCAGGGGTTAACATGCACACTAAAGTCTGGGAACTTGTGCTGCACTGTTAGAATCGAACTCTAGAATCAACAGTTAGAAATATGTATATTCTTGGAGTTCCTCAGAGTCTAGTAATGTGATTTATGTTTTAATAACTGTTTTTGATTGAATGATTCACAAGCCAGTGCTTCATTCTGCTAGATCAGACTTTAGTCTGATGTGCAATTCCTCCCTTTGTGTACTCTCCTTGATTGCTTCTGAAATAAAAATATTCTGTAATATTAAACTACTTTTTTGGTTTGTTCTTAATGCTTCCTAGGAGCCTCAGTGAGCACAGAAGTTTCTGAGTTAAATTTTCATCTAATATGTTCATCTATTCAAGCTTGTTTTATTCAACTAAGAAACATTACAGAAAGCCAAAGTGGTGATTTACTAATCACCACTGGGGCTGAGTTAAAATTAAATGACAGCTGGGTGGGGTGGAACACATCTGTAATCCTAGCACTCTGAAAGGTTCAGG